CCACTTCCCCCTCACAGTCCACCTCCCCCTCACACTCCCCCCTCTCCCTCAGACCCACCTTAAGTCTGCGGTGCCCAGCCCCATTTTGCAGTGATGGGGGCCGCCTCTGGTCCTGGTCCCGCGGTGCTCACAGTTCAGAAGAAGGAGGCAGTAGGATGAGCCCTTGTTCTCAACTCAGGGCCGATTGCCGGTTGCCGGGCTGGAGAGAGCCCAGGCATCGCCTCCATCTGGTTTTCTGGCCTCACAGAATTCGCTAGAAAGCTCTCTGCCTGCCGGTCTCCGTGTCTAGCCTCCGACTGGGCCTGTAAGGGGGGCCGCGCCTCCCCCTTTGCCTGGCTGGGCCCGGGAGGCCTCGCTGTCATGATAAAAGAATCCACAGGTCCCAAAACTCGCTATTTTTAGGTCTTGGTGGATTTGAGCCAGTTTCCTGAGTGTAGTAATTACCCAAATACTTTATTGAATAGGACCTTGAAAACGCATCTTACTCTACTCGGAAGTTCAAACAGGTTTAGACGCCATGCCCCTAATCCTCGAAGACAAGTGACAGGAGTCCTTGCGCTGCTCCCTGCTGCTGACCCAGCTCTGCTCCTCTGCCCCTGTCCACATCCACCCCTGACAGGGCCACTCTGCGGGGTTTGCTCCCAGGCACGCCTTTCCAGACCAGCTTCTCTCCTAAACTCAGGACTTGTGTGCCCCCTGCTTCCTGGACATCTCCTCAGACCTGACATTTCCAAAGGGAATGCTTCTCGCACACCCCGCCCCTGGTGCTCCTCTGGGGAGAAGTTTTGGTCAATGGCTCCAGCCAACAGACTGGGATCCCGCCCTTTGCCCTTCCCTTTGCCTCACTCCCCAGTTGGCCCCGGTGACTCCACCTTCAGACTCTATAATGAATCTGCCTCTGGGTCCCCGCAGCCCCCACCAGCCTGGTACCACTATGTCTCTTCCCCTGGAGCTGGTGCCTCGACTTCCCCCTCCCCCCAGCCCAGGTGCCTCTTCACATACACACAGACGGATCTGTTAGAGAACGTAAATCCTAAATCTTAGATCCCATTTCGATGGCTCACCGTGGAGCTGTGCAGGTCTCCACCCCTCCCCTTGGCCTGTGACAGAGGAGTCAGGTACCTGTGAGTCCCCACCTGTCTTACCTCTGTTTGCTTAATGTCCGCTACAGAAGCTTCTGACTCCAGTGAACGTTTAGCAACAATTGCAAAGAGAGATGCCTCCAGCCAACCCAACCCCAAGTTTGCACAACAGAACAAAACACTCACCCCAAAGTTCAGGGGGCAAGGAGAAATAAAAAAGAAATATTTTTATTTTATATTTTATTATAATATATATATAAATATATATATATATAAATAAAATATATAAAATATTTTATTAAATAAAAAAGAAATTTTTTTATTTCAGAGAAATAAAAAAGTTAATGAGGTCATTAGAGTGGGGGCCAGTGAGCAGCTCCCTTGCATCAGCGGGGATGTTGGAGTGTGCCCAAGATCAGAAAGCAGGCAGCAGTGCTCCCGCGGCTGCGTCTTCCCCTAATTAGAGAACAGACCCGCAAGGGACTAAATTGCAAAAGAAATTCCAGCTTCTCTAAGAACCTCAGAACGATGGCAGCGTGAGCACACAGTGGGCGGGTACAACGTACGGGTCACTCTGGCAAGCCTTTCACGGGTGCTGATCCTTCTCATCGTCACACAGTCTGAAAGTTACAACTCTTGTCCCTGTTCAGCAGATGAGCGGACTGAGGCCATTGAGGTTAATCAGCTCGCCCGAGACCTCACAGTCAGGAAACAGCAGAGCCATTGCA